ATTTGTGTGCTCCTACTTATATGTGTTTATTTCGCATTATTTATTGGCATCATTATTTCTAATTGTATTAACTGTGTACCGGTACGAGATCTACCATACTGTAAGTTGAAGATTGTAATTTTATTTTATTTTGTAATTATCTTAAGACATAATAAATCTTAATTAATTGTAACTAGAAACTGTTTTGGGTCGTATCTTTAATATTGTTGATTCTATGGTATCGTCCTTTGTTAGGCACTGCTTACAACGAGCCAATTAAAATTAAAATAGGAGATTAATTTCTCCCAATACAAGTCAGTGCGTAACACTCTTCTGTAGTGAATTCAAAAGTTGACATCTCTTCTGTAATGTAATCAAAAGTTGACATCACTTCTGTATTGAAATCAAAAGGTGACATCACTTCTGTAGTGAAATCAAAAGTTGACATCTCTTCTGTAGTGTAATCAAAAGTTGACATCTCTTCTGTAGTGAAATCAAAAGTTGACATCTCTTCTGTAGTGTAATCAAAAGTTGACATCTCAATTGTAGTGTAATCAAAAGTTGACATCTCTTTTGTAGTGTAATCAAAAGTTGACATCTCTTGTGTAGTGAAATCAAAAGTTGACATCACTTCTGTAGTGAAATCAAAAGGTGACATCACTTCTGTAGTGAAATCAAAAGTTGACATCTCTTCTGTAATGTAATCAAAAGTTGACATCAGTTCTGTAGTGAAATCAAAAGTTGACATCTCTTCTGTAATGTAATCAAAAGTTGACATCACTTCTGTAGTGAAATCAAAAGTTGACATCTCTATTGTAGTGTAATCTGTAATCAAAAGTTGACATCACTTCTGTAGTGAAATCAAAAGTTGACATCTCTTCTGTAGTGTAATCAAAAGTTGGCACCTCTTCTGTAGTGTAATCAAAAGTTGACATCTCTTTTGTAGTGTAATCAAAAGTTGGCATCTCTTCTGTAGTGTAATCAAAAGTTGGCACCTCTATTGTAGTGTAATCAAAAGTTTTCATCTCTTCTGTAGTGTAATCAAAAGTTGGCATCTCTTCTGTAGTGTAATCAAAAGTTGGTATCTCTTCTGTAGTGTAATCAAAAGTTGACATCACTTCTGTAGTGTAATCAAAAGTTGACATAACTTCTGTAATGTAATCAAAAGTAGGCATCTCTTTTGTAGTGTCATCATCATAGTGTCATCATCCTAGTGTCATCTTCCTTCAGTATTTGGCTCAAGGTTTGAGATATCTCTATGGTCTGTTTACTATCAGCATTTATCTCAGAGCGGATTCTATCAGCACTTATCTCAGAGCGGATTCTATCAGCACTTATCTCAGAGCGGATTCTATCAACACTTATCTCAGAGCCGATTCTATCAACACTTATCTCAGAGCTTCCATCTGTTAACTTGCCGGACAATTCCTACTTTCAGTGACAGATCCTTGCCATGGCCTTGGTGTTATGTCAGACGTCTTGTAATCTAGTTCAGCGCTCTCCACATGTTGGTCTGTGGACCAGGCTCCGTCAGTGCAGCCTAATTTACCGGTCCATAAAAGATGATTATTGATGGTCAGATAAAAATAAACTACAATAATGGAACCTGGCACCGGTCCCTGGAGCAATTTTGAAACTTTTCCATCAGTCCACAAAGCTAAAAGTTTGGGAATCGCTGATCTAGTGCACTGTCTGCATTTGATTGTGATCTCAAAGAGATTTTGTATAATGATAATGAAAACACGCAGCTAAACTTATCCTAGGAAATGTACACTCAAGGCAGTCACTCCAGGATTGACCAATAGAGAGAGAGGTAGAAAGAGAGAGAGATATATAAATATAAATATATATATATACACAGTGCTTTTTTTGTAAAAAAAAATAGGTGCCGGTACTCATTGATGGATTGCCTAACTTTTAACTGCCAGTTCGCACCTCGATGCAAGCTAAATACAATCGCAAAAATACTAAATGTCTAAAACAATTTTATTTTATAATTAACCAACTTAAATTGTTTTATTATTACTTTATTAGTATACGTATACATTTGTTATGATTTGTAAAATTTAACTAACAACTTATTCAAGTTATTCTTGATTTACTTTTAAAAAATTGTGTTAAGTTCTCTTGTGTTTTATAGGAAAGAACCCTGTTAAAAATGAAAATGAAATATAAAATTTGAATAAATTATTCATAATAAATTCCAAAGTTTGATCAAAGTTTGATCTCATCTGACGTATACTCCCGACTGCGTTCTTTGCTGTTGGTATCTGTGGCTGAATGTCTGCCTCTAAGCAACCATGAATCAACGTATCTTGTAGGGTCAAAACGTACGAGTGGTGGTCCAACTAATCGGATAAATAACTGTGAAGATACAGTTGTATCAATTGATATCAAGATCAATGAACTTCTTGTCGGGGTGATGATAAGATTCATTTGCGAAAATCCTCTTTCGGCTTCACGTGAAGAAATTGGGATTGTACTGAGAGCAATTTGCAAAGGAAGCAGTTTATCCGGAATGTCTTTTTTTTTCGATGAGATATTCACGAAATCCGCGAATCATTATTATTTCGTTTAATTGCAATTTTGTTGACAAGTTTCTCATTTCTGTTTCGCCAATTGTTAAGTGAGTACCAATGTTGCCGGGCCATTGTTTTGTATAGAGCACTCGAGCCCAATATGCCTACTCAGTATCTTCACTAGAAAGCAACCTTTGTTCAATTGATTCTTGTAGATTTTTGTAAAAAGCTTTTACGTCAATTGGTGGATCACTGGCACAGTTTTTGGTGTGAAGTGAAACTCTTTTGAAAAGGTTACTATCTACAGCAGTGGCCGCAATTTTATAATAAGGGCCTGGAATAATTTGCCTTTCTTCAAAAATCTGTATAACAGCCTTGATTTTTTTATCTACTCTGTAGATGTCGATGTTGCGCTCTAGCAAATCCAAACTTAACTCTGACAATTCTTGGAGCGCATCGCACATCAATCCGAGGTCTAGTACAAATTCAGTAGAAGTAATCTTTCGCTGCAAACCTTCATACGTGCATTGATCTTTTTTGTCTCTGGTTGAGTCAAGTTTTGATTCTTCAAAATGTTGTACCAAAACTTCATAATCTTCCCTCACTGCTAAAACAGAACGGAACCTGGATGCCACCCATCACGTGCTTAACATTCTTCCAATTTTTAACAACTGAGCCTCTAACAAACGAGCATATATTTGCAATTCTCTGCAATTTTTGGGGAAGAATGATAAACTAAATACAGTTTATCAATGAATGCCTTGAATCTGTTGATCCCTGAAACTTGTTTTACGACATCACCAACGGAGAGTTCCAGTCGGTGATTTGCACAATGCCAAACCAGAAGCGATGGAAACTTTTCTTTTAGCTATGTCTTGACGCCACTTTTACTTCCCAACATCACAGCTGCTCCATCACATGCAAGAGAAACTAAGTTCCTTCTTAGAAAGTCTTCTGTTAACCCATAGAAATGAAGGCAGTGTAGTAAAGAAGCAAAAATTCCATTTGCGGTTGCACTTTCGAGTTCTACCAAATCCAAGAATAAATTTACTGGTGTGGTCATTCCACTGTGTGCAAGACAAACACGATTATACACAATTAAAGTCGATTTTTGTCTAAGCGTAGTTGATTCGTCGATGATCAATGAAATTTTATTGTTCGATCGTACACTTTCTTGAAACAATATTTTTCTCATTTCACAACTAATATGATTTACTACATTTATGCAAACATTGGTTCAATGAAGAATACGGCCCATCTCATCTCCGTTCTTGCAAATCTCTTTCAGATTCGAAATTATGAAACGATTGGTTTTCTTTGTCTACTTTATATGATGTACGAAAAATTTTTACAGTTACGATTTTCTCACGAAAAAACAACGCGTTCTCAATAGGTGCTGCCTCGGCTTCTGTTAGGATCTTAAACGCAGCTTTGTGTGCCACAGTTTCTTTATGATCGAATAATTTCTTTCTTAAAGACATAAGCTGTTGTTATCGATTAGTACCGAAGTAAGTTATTTTATTGTCGGCCCATTCGTTCGATACCTTCATCCCCATTTTTGCCTCGACTCCGAGATTGCCAACTTTTCGGCAAGGGATACAACCAAGTTTTTTATTATGGATAAATAGTCAATCATATTTCACAAGGAAATAATTTCTTTGATTTAAAGTCCAGCAGGTAGGCCAATCAACATCTGCAGGCTGCAGTTGTTCAAAAGTAACAGATGAACCAAGAACCATATCTGACGGCTTTGGTTCCGATAGTTCCGTTAGGGTTTCCTCTGTGACATTGGCTTCTGCCGTTATTTCTTCAGTCAGTCTGGTTTTCTTACTTACCACAAAGTCCCAGTTGGAACATCGATTGAATGCGAAAAGAAATCAGAAATTTTCTTCCTTTCCAAAGTGGGCTAAGAAATAATTATTACTTAAATAATCAATTTATAACTTCACTCGTTTTAATTTCTCTAAGTCTTAAATATTTCATTCAAATTTTGAAATTTTAAAGGCATTACGTCTTAAAAACAACCATGACCGGAAATAGGTTAATAACCAATGACGTAACATTACGAGTGTTTGCGGAAAGCAGTTTCCCATTTTATATTTTAATTCTTATTGCGCGCAATTTTAAAATAATTCAATTTTAACAAATTAATAAGATAATAAATTAATATTAACGTTAAAATACAAGAAAAGTAATAAATTTTTCCCCACATTGAAAAAGGTGCCGGAACGCCGTACCGGTGCTTACCGGCACACAAAAAAGCACTGTATATACACATATATATATATATATATATATATATATAAAGAGAGAGAGGGGGCAAGAAAAAAAGAAGATAATTTTTCAGTTGGTTAAAAAGCCCTAAAATCGTCATAATCATAAATCAATACTTTTATGTGATTGACTAAGTCAAAAAATTCATCTAAAAATAGTTTTGTATTTAGTTGGAGGGCGCGGGTCAATCCCACTGAAATATTTTGGCATGTGCTGCAGCAGTAATCAGGACCCTAACGCACTCGGATGAGAAAAGAAGAAATAAATTATCTCTATAAAACATATAAATTTAATAAAAGCATGTAATTAAAACAAAGCTGTAGTATATAAGTCATGATTGTGATGGTTTAATTTGTGGACAGCGTCTCAAATATTATCACCCATTTGTGATGTTTTGTAATAGACAAAACCGAATATTTACATTTTTCTTTACAGCCTTGAATCGTAAACAAACCCATGATTGTCAAATTCATCAAGCACTTTGATTGGTTGGTCATTGTCCGAAACTAGCTTTTCAACAACATTGTCAATATTCGCACAGCACTTTTGTTCGTGTGTGGCCACAGCAAATTGTGATGCTTTACTAAGTTTAGTATTAGGTTTTTCAGAAACTGCCTTTCTTTCACAGTTCCCTGCAATTAGCGTAGCTACGTCAGATTGGGTGATCCGGGTATTTTCACCAGTCTGTGCACACATGGTTTCTTCCACATTCTCATAAATTCCCGATTGCTCAGAGGAAGTCAGAGCTGCTGAGTCATCACCTTTGTTTGAATTTCCCATTTTGTCATTGCAACTGGAATTTCCGATATGGATATCTCTGTGGTTTGTATTCCCAGAATCTATGACATCACTGACATTTTTCACGTCATCAACACAGTTACCCGTACATTTCTCAGGAGTCTTGAAATGATTCATTTGTGTTCCGCTGACATTTTCAAGGTCTTCAAATGAAGAGGTTTTAAAGACACCAGAGGTAGGGGTTTCTGGGACGATGATCACGTGATTGCTGGCTGCCATCCTGACGCTATCCTGGAGAGCTGTATTGTTGGTCTCTGGGATGAGCGTGAGAAGAGTCACGGAGACTAGGAGCAGACAACCCATCACGACGTAGGATACGATGGCATTATCGTCCTTGAAAAAAAATGCATTCACTATTGATTAACTAAGTGTTAATTTTAAGTTTTAATTAACACTCACACTCTCATTATCTATAATTGATTTTTATGAAGGTTGATATTTTTGTATTGATATATGTATTGCTTGATTTATATATGGGTAGATTATATGTTGAACTTCTTATACGCTGACTTATGTGCCATAGTCTTATCTAATTCAGCTTGATGATATATTTATTTCATTAGCAATCAGCTAATTTTATTTGTAAATACTAACTGACCAGATTGATGGCAAAGGGCGCAAGTATTCCACCAATCCTCGCTGCTGTGTTCACCACTCCGTAACCCAAACTCCTAAGAAAAAATTAGTTTTTAAAAAAACAATTACAAAAATAACAATTTATTGTCTCCTTCCTAGTGTTTTAAGTGTAAACTTAAATTGAAACACGTGATCAACAAAATGGCTCAATTGTATTTTTTTATTACAACTAACTATACAAAGACTTGAATTCACTTCAATCTGTGACTGTAGGCATGGGCGCCCGCAGAAAACTTTCTAGGGGGGGGGGGCAAAAAAATCGATTAACTTTCCAAGGGGGGTGGGCAAAAAATTTTTAATAATGTTTTAATATAGTTTTAATTGACTGTAGCGTATTGGTATGGTGAAAGAACGGACAGGACATCAGCTCAGTTACTTTCTCTTTATTTTCTCTTTACTTTAATACATTTTTTGTCTATTTTAGTCTATAATTTTTTTATCCAATCAATCCAGGGGGGGGGGAAGTGCCCCCCTTGCCCCTACCTGCGGGCGCCCATGACTGTAGGGCAGATTCGATGCGAGGGTCCTGCAACCCCTCATTACAGTCTTTCATAGTTTATAGTTCAGAGCAAAAATAGTGAGGTGGACAAAATTGAATCTCTTATTAGGGGCTCAAAACAAAAAAATGGCAGAGGGATCCAAAAGTCACGCGATGGCTTGCCATAGGGTAACACTGTCCCACCCAAACATGACTGCCAACCTAGTTAGAGAAATGACCTTGTGATTATAGTTTACCACTCTCCAACTCAAAGCTGCTAACCTGGTTAGAAAACTGACCTTATGACTGTAGGGTAGCACTCTCCCACCCAGACCTGGGTGCTGACCCAGCCCGACGCCACTCCCAACTTGGCTGTTAGACTGAGTCCACTCATGATTTCTTGTTTTAGGTTTTCTGGCGCTGTTGTCATGGCAACAAGTAATAATATATTTTGTGACGTCATTAAAATTGTTATTTTTATCATTATATAATTTTTTTCTAAAGTTTATCTGTTCCTTTTTTATTTGCTTGATTAATTTCTTATATTTGTTTTAAAAATTTTGTGACAATCTTTAGTGTACTGTCTTAGAATGTCTCAACTTTGAAATGTACAGTGACAAGACTGAAGTGACCTCACCAGCAAAACGAGCAGCCAGACATCCGAAACTTGATAGACAGGACAACATTAGGAATGTACTAGTTGTCTTACGTCGTCCGAATCTGAAATGTGCATATGTGTTATATAAAGGCATTCTATCATATGCCTGAAATGTTCATATGTGTTATATAAAGGAATTCTATCATATGCCTGAAATGTTCATTTGTGTTATATAAAGGAATTCTATCATATGCCTGAAATGTTCATTTGTGTTATATACAGAAATTCTATCATATGACTGAAATGTTCATATGTGTTATATAAAGTAATTCTATCATATGACTGAAATGTTCATATGTGTTATATAAAAGAATTCTATCATATGACTGAAGTGTTCATTTGTTATATAAAGGAATTCTATCATATGACTGAGATGTTCATATGTATTATATAAAGGAATTACATCATATGACTGAAATGTTCATATGTGTTATATAAAGGAATTCTATCATATTACTGAAATGTTCATATGTGTTATATAAAGGAATTCTATCATATGACTGAAATGTTCATATGTGTTATATAAAGGAATTCTATCATATGACTGACATGTTCATATGTGTTATATAAAGGAATTCTATCATATGACTGAAATGTTCATATGTGTTATATAAAAGAATTCTATCATATGCCTGAAATGCATCATATGTGTTATATACAGGAATTATATCATATGACTGAAATGTTCATATGTGTTATATACAGGAATTCTATCATATGACTGAAATGTTCATATGTGTTATATACAGGAATTCTATCATATGACTGAAATGTTCATATGTATTATATACAGGAATTCTATCATATGACTGAAATGTTCATATGTGTTATATACAGGAATTCTATCATATGACTGAAATGTTCATATGTGTTATATACAGGAATTATATCATATGACTGAAATGTTCATATGTGTTATATAAAGGAATTCTATCAAATTACTGAAATGTTCATTCTTCTTCTTCTTCTATATCTTAAGGGCCCACGATCAATTTATTGATCATTTTGGCTCCTATGCATGTAGATGGGATTTGCAATGTTTCTGTTACTGGTGGTGATGAGGAAATAATTATGCACTAGGGGTTTGAAGGCTTGAGGCAATAGACACAAATGTGTCTAGTGTTGTCGCCTCAACTTTTCCTTTTGAAAGATGGTTCCAGTCCCGGATTGTCTTGGGCAGGAATGAGCAGTTCCTATAATAACTTCTTGCTGGTATGAGCCTCAATTGCCTGTCATGGCCTCGTCAGTGTCTATGGGGGAGAGGGACGAGTTTCTGTTTAATACTGGAACAGTGGACCAGTCCATTATTTATCTTGTACATCATGGAGAGCCTGGATTGTCGTCGTTTCTCCAATGGTGACCAGCCTAGTGTTTCTAGCATGCTGCCAACACTAGAGGTATTCCTGTAGCGGTTTAGGACAAAACGTGCTGCTCGTCGCTGGACCGTCTCCAACCTGTCAATGCTCTTCTGTTATATACAGGAATTCTATCATATGACTGAAATGTTCATATTTGTTATATACAGGAATTCTATCATGTGACTGAAATGCATCATATGATTTAATAACACAGATGAACTACATTGCATCTTAGGACATTTAGTAGTTCATAGTATATAGATCAGCATTTGTGCTATTAAAGAAAATATGGGAGCCGAAAATTTTGAAGCTGCAAACCAAAGTCAGAATCTTTAACACAACTGTCAAGCGGTCCTACTATATGGAATAGAAACTTGGAAAACAACAGCGAGCATTACGCAGAATGTACAGACCTTCATAAAAGAATGCCTTAGAAAGATCCTGAACATCAAATGGCCAAATACCATCCCCAAAAAAGATCTATTAGAAAGGACTTACCAGGTGCCCGTTGATTAAGACTCATAAGAAATGATGGAGATAGATAGGACATACTCTCTGAAAAATTCCAGATACCATAACCAGACAATCCCTAAAATGGAATCCACACGGAAAAAGGAGAGAAAGGCCAAAGAATACATGGAGGCGCGAACTAGAGGCAGACACGCGAAGTATGGGGTACACCTGAAAGCATCTGGAAAGGAAAGCATTGGACCGTTATTAATGAAACATTCTTGTGGACGGATTGAGCCCCAGATGGGTAAAAAGGCATTTTGTCATAGGGCATAGGTGTTTTATTCAACATGCTTTGTATCATAGGACATTTAGTAGTCATGGTACATGCATTGTATCATAAGACATTTAGTGGATTATGGTACATGCATTGTATCATAAGACATTTAGTGGATTATGGTACATGCATTGTATCATAATACATTTAGTAGTTCTTGGTACAGGCATTGTATCATAAGACATTTAGTAGTTCATGGTACATGCATTGTATCATAAGACATTTAGTAGTTCTTGGTACATGCATTGTATCATACGACATTTAGTAGTTCATGGTACATTCATTGTATCATAAGACATTTAGTAGTTCATGGTACATGCATTGTATCATAAGACATTTAGTAGTTCATGGTACATGCATTGTATCATAAGACATTTAGTGGATTATGGTACTTGCATTGTATCATAAGGCATTTAGTAGTTCATGATATATGTATTATATCACTGGACATTTTTTGTTTCAGAGTACACGTATTTTATCATTGAAAATTTAGTATTTCATAGTACAAGTATTTTATCATTGGACATTTATTGTTTCATAGTACATGTATTTTATCGTTGGACATCAAGTGTTTCATAAGACATGTATTTTATAATTGAACATTTGGTGATTCATAGTGCATGTATTTTATCATTAGACATTTAGTGGTTCATAGTACATGTATTGTATTATAGGGCATTTAAGATTCCTTTAGATTTACATGGCATAATAACTCATGTGGTTATCATTAGATTTCAGGGGCGAGTGTTGAGAAAAGTAATCTGTAGAGTTAATGTTTAATTGTAATTTTGTATTAAGCGTACAAAGAGCGTACAATTGAGAAATGCTAGTCAGACGTGTAACACACATGACGTTAGTCTTAGTACAAAACACATACCGAACATTGCCTCAGTTAAATATACTTGCCTATTGTTCCAGTACAAACACATACCGACAATTGCCTCAGTTAAATATACTTGCCTATTGTTCCAGTACAAAACACATACCGAACATTGCCTCAGTTAAATATACTTGCCTATTGTTCCAGTACAAACACATACCGACCATTGCCTCAGTTAAATATACTTTCCTATTGTTCCAGTACAAACACATACCGACCATTGCCTCAGTTAAATATACTTGCCTATTGTTCCAGTACAAACACATACCGACCATTGCCTCAGTTAAATATACTTGCCTATTGTTCCTGTGCAAACACATACCGACCATTGCCTCAGTTAAATATACTTGCCTATTGTTCCAGTACAAACACATACCGACCATTGCCTCAGTTAAATATACTTGCCTATTGTTCCAGTACAAACACATACCGAACATTGCCTCAGTTAAATATACTTGCCTATTGTTCCAGTACAAACACATACCGACAATTGCCTCAGTTAAATATACTTGCCTATTGTTCCAGTACAAACACATAACGAACATTGCCTCAGTTAAATATACTTGCCTATTGTTCCAGTACAAACACATACCGACCATTGCCTCAGTTAAATATACTTGCCTATTGTTCCAGTACAAACACATACCGAATATTGCCTCAGTTAAATATACTTTCCTATTGTTCCTGTACAAACACATACCGACCATTGCCTCAGTTAAATATACTTGCCTATTGTTCCTGTACAAACACATACCGACCATTGCCTCAGTTAAATATACTTGCCTATTGTTCCAGTACAAACACATACCGACCATTGCCTCAGTTAAATATACTTGCCTATTGTTCCAGTACAAAACACATACCGAACATTGCCTCAGTTAAATATACTTGCCTATTGTTCCAGTACAAACACATACCGACCATTGCCTCAGTTAAATATACTTTCCTATTGTTCCAGTACAAACACATACCGACCATTGCCTCAGTTAAATATACTTGCCTATTGTTCCAGTACAAACACATACCGACCATTGCCTCAGTTAAATATACTTGCCTATTGTTCCTGTGCAAACACATACCGACCATTGCCTCAGTTAAATATACTTGCCTATTGTTCCAGTACAAACACATACCGACCATTGCCTCAGTTAAATATACTTGCCTATTGTTCCAGTACAAACACATACCGAACATTGCCTCAGTTAAATATACTTGCCTATTGTTCCAGTACAAACACATACCGACAATTGCCTCAGTTAAATATACTTGCCTATTGTTCCAGTACAAACACATAACGAACATTGCCTCAGTTAAATATACTTGCCTATTGTTCCAGTACAAACACATACCGACCATTGCCTCAGTTAAATATACTTGCCTATTGTTCCAGTACAAACACATACCGAACATTGCATAAGTTAAATATACTTGCCTATTGTTCCAGTACAAAACACTCAAGTTTGTAGGTATTTCCACGCTGGCCATGATGAAAATATTCAGATAGAGATTGCCAGCAAAACTGGACACACCAAAGGACAGTCCGTAAAACACCATGGAGATGGTCATCCTGTGGATAACATTAACTTTTGTTTTGCCTTTGCTTGTTTGCGCTGGTCCGAACTCTTTCCTAGGTCATAAGACACACATATGCAGTGACTGTTGCTTTGGTTAAGTGAAATCATAAGACACACATATGCAATGACTGTTGCTTTGGTTAAGTGAAATCATCTCGGTTTGTAAAGGGTAGATGAAAGTGAATGTTTGGTGGATGCATGTTGGATATTCGGTGAAGATTTGGTGCATATTTGTTGAACTTTTAGAGAATGTTTAGTGAATTGTTCGCGGGAGCCAGCCTTCTTATGAAGCGGAGTTTATTAATATTTAGTTGTATTTAGTTTTAGTGGAGATCGAATCGCATTACAGCAGTAAAATTGCATTACATTTTAAATTCTAGTAACTTGGCACAATCAGGGCAGTACATGTTGCATGTCACAATCAAGTTAGTAGATGTAGCATAGCACAATCAAGGCAGTAGATGCAGCATGGCACAATCAAGGCAGTAGATGCAGCATGGCACAATCAAGGCAGTAGATGTAGCATGGCACAATCAAGGCAGTAGATGTAGCATGGCACAATCAAGGCAATAGATGTAGCATTCGATGTAATTTACAAATCAAAGTTGTTTTTTTAAAAATAAAAGCGTTTGATCAAACTTGTGCAAAATCATATAGTTCTGTAGTACACAGAAGTATGAAATGTGAAACAAAATGGTAGTGAATACACGTTTAGCTATAGATTGAATGTGATAAAAAAAAAAGTAAAGACCTGAGACCCACTAACACAGATCTAAGGACCAACCATTGAAAACAAAAGATAATCGAAATTTTAGCCATCTGTCGGCCTCTGAAGACATCGATGTAGGAATATGTCTTCCCAGATTTTCGTCCTTCTCTTTCCGTCTTATCGATTTCCTGGAAACAACAATAACATATATAAACAAAAAAAATACTAATACACAATTTTAAACAGTTTTTTTTCCTCATTTTCTGGAGGCTTACTTCATGCAAAATTTAGACTAGCGACAGAATAAAATGAGTTACCTGCAAGGTGGCCATTGTGTAAGGCGGGACGAGTTTACCATTAGTTCTGGCCATTTGCTCAACAACTTTATACGCCTCCTTGATACGCCCCTGAACAGCTAGCCAACGAACACTTTCTGGAAAATAACTGTCGAAATCGATAGGAAAGAAATGTTGGTTTAAAGAATACTTCCTTGAATCCTTATATGGGGAGATGCTTTGTATTAATTAAATGTATTAATAAAGTTTCTAATCACCCGACCCAAGCAATGCGTCATGAGGACAACGTGGTAACTTTGTTTAAAGCGATATTATTTAGTGCTTTCTGGTGAAATTTAAGACATTGTCAATGAAGCTTGTTCTGAACGAATGGATGTCATCAAACAAATTGAATGATGATAAGACTGATGCAATTAATTGTGGTTCGAACGCCAATCTTCGGCAGGTTGCCATCACGTCAATAAAAGTTGGTGATTCTGAGATCCTGTTGTCCTCCACTGTCAGAGAACTTGGCTTATATATTGACAGTAAACTTAGAATGATTCCCCATATCAGTTCTGTGGTCAGGGCATGCTCCTGTCGTCTACGAGTCCTGGGTCAACTGCATCCTAAACTCAATAAGCCAATGATGAAGCAGTAACTCTAATCCAGTCAAGATTAGATTACTGTAACAGTTCTTTTTGGGGCTTACCCCAGAATCAAATTCAGAGACTCCAGAAGGTACAAAATACTGCAGCACGCATTGTATCGCGAATAAAGAAATCTGACCACATCACCCCAGTTCTTAGAGAACTCCATTGGGTTCCTGTGAGTGAGCGCATTGACTACAAAGTTCTGTCCCTGGCGTACAGCTGTATAGAAGGCTCTGTCCCTGGCGTACAGCAGTATAGAAGGCTCTGTCCCTGGCGTACAGCTGTATAGAAGGCTCTGTCCCTGGCGTACAGCTGTATAGAAGGCTCTGTCCCTGGCGTACAGCTGTATAGAAGCGAGACAGGGACCGCATGTCGTGTATAGAAGGCTCTGTCCCTGGCGTACAGCTGTATAGAAGGCTCTGTCCCTGGCGTACAGCTGTATAGAAGGCTCTGTCCCTGGCGTACAGCTGTATAGAAGGCTCTGTCCCTGCCGTACAGCTTGTATAGAAGGCTCTGTCCCTGCCGTACAGCTTGTATAGAAGGCTCTGTCCCTGCCGTACAACTTGTATAGAAGGCTCTGTCCCTGCCGTACAGCTTGTATAGAAGGCTCTGTCCCTGCCGTACAGCTTGTATAGAAGGCTATGTCCCTGCCGTACAGCTTGTATAGAAGGCTCTGTCCCTGCCATACAGCTTGTATAGAAGGCTCTGTCCCTGCAGTACAGCTTGTATAGAATATCTTAAGGAACTGATTTATAAACACGCATCCTTAAAGAACTGCGGTCTTCAACATAGTCCTTACTGGGAGTTTCAAGTGTGGAGAAACACAAACAAAAGTCTTACTGAGTGCGTTCTTTTGAAGCGATAGCGCCAAAATTATGGAACAGTTTGCCCCAATCCTTGATGGAAATTGAAAATGATGAAAAATAATTTAAGAAACATTTAAATAATTTTTTATGTAAATAGATTTTAAGAACATGAGAGCGCTGTGAGCGTGCTAGCGTAGCATGGATACAAGAGCTATTATATAAATATTCAATTCAATTCAAAGCTTCCATAGTTCATCAATGTAAAGATAACTGTTCATTAGACTACCGTACCCTCCGTTATATTTACAGCTATGGTGTAACCATAGGTTAATAAATTATCCTATCAAACGTGTACAACTAAAGAGAATTTATTTTAAATAAATCAATCGAAAATTAACCATTGAAAGTCGAGTCAAAATGTTAAACCACAGCGCTTCATAATTTAGCAGAGCTCATCTTTAAATTAAATCCACAAGTACACAGCACCACAATTTCTCCTGTAGCTTCACAACTTCTTGAATATGAACAAGGTATACGTATCTAAAAACACAGAAATTAAGTCTACAACGTACAAATATCCAAACAGCCACGGAACACAGAGAGCAACTAATGCAAAATGCAGGTGCGCCCAGTCTTGGAGAAAATAAGCCGCTAATGCAAACAAGGAGGTGCCGATACTCCACACAGGAATCACTGGGACCAGAGACCGCCATTTTGGGGGCAAATACTCACTACAATAGGGAACTGTCATCACGAGAGAAGATCCTATGGTGATTGGAATTGTTCAAGTAAAAAATAATATTAATAAAAAATAATTATTTTAAATGGGATTATTTAATTAGACTATTAATAGTCTGTGGGAAGTTTCAAATGTATATATTAAGATTATTTTTAAACGTTAATTTTTGATAAATTTATCAATTTGATGATAGTATATTTTTGTAACGTAAAATAAGTAAAAACTTATTAAATGTGAAATATCAACAATCCAAAAGGCAATCGATTTTATTTATTAATTTTACTTTTAAAAAGGACCAAATACTTGATCAGTTTTGTCAATGAAACTTAACTCTTTTTATTTGCAAGTTAAAAATTTTTCTCTTTTGAAATTAATAACAATTTTCTTTTTTGAGTTTCATTCAAAATTTAGATTTGAGATTGTTCATTTGCTTATTCTTATATTTATATATATATATAGATAATGTATAACAGTCTTTGATATTAACGAACTACCGGTATTTTTCTATGTTAATTAACTATACAATCTCAAAGCTCTTCGCTTCAATGTTAATTAACATACCAATTGTGATGCCTATGAGAAATCTCGCACAAGCGAACATCTCCCAGTTGACAGAAAAAGCTGCGATGACATTGAAGAAAAGATGAGCCAAAAAGAACCCGTATGTAGTCTTCTTTCGCCCGAAATAGTCCCCGAGCTGACCGGACGTGGCTGCGCCTACCAACACCCCGGCCATTTGAATGGACGTCACTGTCGCCTTGACCCATTTCTTGTCACAGACTAGGTTCCACTGCCAGATTGAAAGTCAAGAGAAGAAGAAGCTTAGTCATTAATCAGTGTTTCTTTCAGAGAATTACCTCTTGGGGGTTTTTAGATTTTTTTTTTTTTGGGGGGGGAGGGGGTCAGTGGCTGTGACTATGTGCGTAGCTGATGGGGCAGAGGGGACTGATGTCCCCGGGCATCAAACTAGCGTGGGTGCCAAAATAAGTTTTGGTTTGTATGTAATGGAAAAAAAAATAGGTTTCAATTTCGGAGATGAGGGGGCAGCGTAAAAAGGAATATTTTCTCCTGGTCCAAAACAATGTAGCTACACTTTGCCAGAGGCGTAGAAATGGAGGTGAATGGGGTGGCCCTCTTACATGTCAATTTTATTATATCGAGGTGCGGCATCTTCGGATAACTGCAGAGTTATTTCTTTCACGGTAATAATCATTTGGAAAAACCTTATATTCAACACCGTAAGGTGACACTGATCAGCTTGAAGGAAGAGTGTTGCGTTTTGTAGACGGCATTCGAGAGTCACTTGGGCGAAACAGGGAGAAGATGGGCAGATAGCTTCACAGAATATCTTCGGGATATTGAACAAGGTAAACTTTCCCCAGTCTCTTCACACTTTAACAGAGGGCAACAAAATGGTGCATTAGATGAATCCATTACGGCACTAATGTTTTGCACGAACACACAAGAGAGAGTGAAAATGGAAAACACATTTTTTCATCTTTTCGTTGCCATATCTCCACATGGTATGAATCAAATAGTCTCTTATTAATGTTTCTCAATTTCCCTGTTTTATTCTTTTATTTTCTTATTTCTTAGATTTTTTGTAGCCCTAAATATTTTGGTCTGTTAAGATTATCTACCTTATTCTCATATTTCCCAATACCCATATTTATATTCTTTCACTTTCTGTAAACCTACTTCCGGCAACAAAAGGAAATATCCAAAAATTTTTTTTATTGTTATCTGATACTTGCTATACTTGCTATACTTGCTATACTTTCTATACTTGCTATACTTCTTTGTGTCTTCTTTTCGGATGAAAGCTGTAACTCGAAACGGAAAAATGGTTTGTCCTGTTTATGAATTAAAGTGTGGCAAACCTTGTTCTTATATTTCTTTGAGTTTTTATTTAATCTATTTATAGTGTAAACTCCTACAAAATTAATGAGTTGAAAAAATATTTTTAAAAAAATACCTTCCAAAAAATTTTTCAGCACAAAAAGTTGCTAGCTTCATTTTAAATATAGAATCCAAACGAGAAAAAAAAATTCTTGTAATAATTAACTGTTCTAAAGATTTTCAAGTTTCATTAGAATCATGGCGGAAAAAAAAACTGTTTTGGAAAAAGGTATATACATTTGTATGGTTTTCAAGAACTGGTCTTTATTGTAAATCGTATATGAACATTATATTTGAGTTAAGAGGGCATGAGATGTTTACAATTACATCATATTATTATATTTGTTAATGATTTATTTATATGAAGGAAATATATATTTTTTCAAATCTATTAAAAATACAATAAGTTTCAAAATTCAGTTGATTATAATAATTTTTTGAAATTTCAAACTACTAAAGCTTTTTGCAAATAAATAAATGCAAATTGTCTCGTCAATATACTTAAAAAAACATATAAAAAAGAAAGAAATTCATAGAACTAACGCCTTGAGGACGAACACTTACTTCTAAACTGAGTACCTCCCACAGAATGGATTCAGCATCATTATCGAAATGCTATTTCACTTCAACTTTCGTGTGTGTCGGTGTGTGTGTGTGCGTGTGTGTGTGGGGGGGGGCGTGTGCGTGCGTGTGTGTGTGTGTGTGTGTCCGTGCGTGCGTGATTGCTTTCTTCTGCATTTTCATCTAAAAAAATAATATTTTTTTAAAACTTCAGGCAGATTCTTTATTATTATGATATTAAAAAGAGAAACTCATTGGGAATGTACAAAATATTGGCTAATCAAAAAAAAAAGCCCTGTTATTCAAGAAACTTTATTACAAAAGTAGCACATTTAAGGAAAACACAAAAATTTTCGAAATTATAGTTGCTGAAACGAGCGCTATATTTTTGCTCATGTTTTTGCTCTTAATTTTTGGTATTAAAAAAACATTTCTTGTTTAAAGTTTTCTTTTTTTTTTATCTCAACATCAAAGAAATAGAAAATTATTAAAAAAATTATTATATAATAACTATATTTTTTAAAGCATGATGCCACATACAATTTATAATTAACATTTATCCGTACTTTATAAGTCACGCCCTTATGATGAAATATAATTTGAAAACAAATTGAACATGCTTGATACTTAACGACAACTGTAATACAATCATATCATACATTCATAAGTTTGTAAATGTAGTTTAAAATCGTGTTGTGAAAGTTTTTAAACTTGTTAAGTTACAAAATACAATTAAATAAAAATACCGATATATGCGAAGAACATGAAGTAAGACTTTGGATTATAATCGGGTGCGGCCAAGTTTTGAAAGAGTAAGATATTAATCATCAAATGTGCAGCCTGTGTCAATATTAGCGTAGCGATGTTCCATTGAATTATTTACAAGTTGTAAACAGTTAATGGCACTGTTACCATACTTTATTTTTTTGTGAAAGGAAAGTTTAGAAGCTTTTATAAAGTATATTTGCATTGTATTGTTTTATACATTTTGCTCTGTGGGGCACTTAGATTTTTCCGGGGTGTCAGTGCCTCCAGGGTTTCTTTCAGCCATATCTCCGGGGAATGGCACCCCGGGGAAAGCCAAGAGTCCCCCCCCCACTCCCCGAGAAAAAATATGTCCAACAATAAATCAACTGGCACTGCTGGCACTGCCCCCCCCCTTCAAAAAAAAGTCTTCAAAAAAAAGAAGAAATCTTAAGTGCCCCCCCCCCTCCCCTTTTCTGAATAGATGCTTGAAGAAGCCCTGAACTCATTATCCCGTAGGACACAATGAAGTATCGATATCGTCCGGTGCAATCCTTCCTCACCTCAGATACAATGGAATGAGCCGCGCCCAGGAACTCGTAGTGACTACACGCTGACCCATTGACCTGGCAGACGTTCAGAGTGCTGTTGGTCATGCCATGGAGTGGATCACCTTCTAACTCATAGGGGGTTACGTCAGTGTCCGTCACACAGAGAAATGAGGGAACCAGTCCTGCAAAGGACATTTGCATCATGCTCCATCCACTCTGTGAAGGCATGGATAACAGTAGAGATGAAAATACTTGGATGGAGTATTATACGATATTTTGAAGCATGGATAACTAAAATGTTAAATTGGCAGAGTCCTTAGCTAGTAAAAGTGCGCGCATGAATAAGTAGATCGATGGAATTAATACAACAATTAATCCGTAGAAATTGATTTGTGAGATGTACAGGACACTCGATATATGCCTACTTTTTTTAATGTATATCTGTGAATGATGGGTCAATAAATGTAGACATATAATTACATTCATCGAAAACTAAAGAACGAGATTGAAATTTTATTTCTACCTTTAGTTCCTTTTTAATGAGTTTTATTAGATGATGAATACAAAAATATTCTATAACTACTCATTTTATTAATCGACAACCTGCATTTAAATTAGTGAATCAAGAAAGTTTTGAGGAAAATATTGACTTTGACAGCTGCCATCTTTGATACGCTAGAACATATACAGTGTTAATTTGAATATGTTTATCAAACATGAGCACACGATTAGAACACCAATTCTGCACATTTTCATGCAAAGATTCAACAATTTATTTAATGTTTTCTTTTACTTACCGGAATTTTCAGGCAGTAGATTCCAAGAATCATCAATAGCTGAAACTTATTTAATCCACCAACATCTTCAAAAATATTCTCCAGCGTCATTTTCAAAAAAAATTAATATATATTATAAGTTTTAATCTTTTGCTTTAAAACTATTACAAACTTTATTACAACATAAAATCATAATCTACAAATAAATGTTGTAGTCTGTGATACTGCGGATTTCTCCGTGACTATCCACGCCAACATTCCAATCACACTGTTACTGTACAGTCCCAGAACTTGCGTGCCAATGAGTTCATGCGGCCATAAGTGTGATAATCATAATTGTCTCGCCACTGAAGTTACGGTCTGATACCAAGTGACACCTGGTCAAATGTGGCCTACAAGTTTACAGGTGTGGAGGGAACTAGTCTTGCTAAATTGCCTGCTCATCACAATATTTTCTTGCACTCCACAATAACATCTCCACTCGGTCAGTACTTAAAATACGTTTATCGCTGATGATTTTATCAATGGGATTTACCACATAGAAAATTAGAATAATCATGTAAACAAATGGAGTTTGATCCAAAATATTACTTGTGGAGGGAATGTTACTTTTTCCAACTAGAGACATTTTCGCTCTGTTGATAGTCTTCTCGTCAAGTGGTCACCTGAAATGTGTTGATCGTCTTGTTGCAATGCGTTGTGTCAACATCACAACCACTTCGTTCAGTGAAGGATCCGTAGGTGCGCTCATATCAGAGCGGCATGATTTTGGGGATTTTAAACAAAAGTATGTAATACTTCTTTGTCGAGAATTTAAAGATTACAATTTTAATATTAAAAAGTAGTTATACCGAACTAAATATTTTCTTAAAATACAAGTTTAAACGCACTAAAAAGTAGAGAATAATTAAATATTCTTAAAATGCATTATCTCTGTTCGTGCACATAGAGTGGCGGTAAAATTCGTTACTCACCAAAGTAATTGCATTGAGTTCTTCTTTCTTTGCCACGCATCAGTTTTTCATAACATGGACTTCGCTTTGGCAACGGCGTTAGGTTCGTCAGCTTGTTGCTTCTCTGTACACCTCATCGTTTGGCGGTGGCGGTAATAGGCATTTTTAGAACCGTCGCTGGAAAAAAAACTCGGCGCTATCCCTCGATGTTTAGTCGATAAAATAATAAAATAAATTCATTCCCTTCGTGATTCTTCTTCTTCTATATATTAAGGGCCCATGGTCAATTTATTGAGCATTTTGGCTCCTATGCATGTGGAGGGGATTTGCAATGTTTCTGTGCCTGGAGTTGGTGAGGATATTTCACTGATTGCAAGTGCTACTTTGTGAGGGAATCAAGCACTGGGGGTTGGAAGACTTGAGGCAATAGACACAAATGTGTCAAGTGTTGTCGTCTCAACTTTTCCTTTTGAAAGCTTAGCTCCGGTCCTTGATTGTCTTGGGCAGGAATGAGCAGTTCCTATAATAACTTCTTGCTGGTATGAGCCTCAATTGCCTGTCATGACCTCGTCGCTGTCTGTGGGGAAGAGGGACGAGTTTCTAGTTAATAATTGAACAGTTGACCAGCCCATTATTTATTTTTACATCATGGTGAGCTTTGATTGTCGTCGTCGTTCCTCCAATGGTGACAAGCCTAGTATTTCCAGGATGCTGCCAACACTAGAGGTATTCCTGTAGCTGTTCAGGACAAAGCGAGCCGCCCGTCGCTGGACCGCCTCAAACCTGTCAATGCTCTTCTGGGTAAATGGGTCCCAGACTTAAGATGCATAATCTAAAATTGGGCAGAGTAAGGCTTTATAGGCTCTTTCTTTCACACAGGAGTTGCCAATCTTTAGATTACGCCTTAAGAACCCCAGGGTCTTGTTTGCTTGGTTACACATTGTTAATATGCTCGTCCCAGCGGAACTCTCCTTGAATAGCACCCAGGTACTTTACGGAGGAAACTGTCTCAACTATATGGCCATGCAGTTCGTATTGGTAGTGTAGATGGGTACAACTCTTAGTGACTGATAGTGTCTGGCACTTGGCAGGGTGAAATTCCATGTCCCAGCTATCTCCCATCAGCTAACAGATTGAGATCATGTTGTAGCTGGTCCATTCTCAGGTCTGTTGGCGATCGTCCTATACACCGCTGTTTCATCTGAGAACAGTCTTGCTTGGGATGTCCGTTTCTCGAGTAGGTCATTAATGTATGCTAGGAACGAACAGGGGCCCAGGACTGATCCCTGGGGGACCCCTGACTTCACATCGACAAAGGAGGAGCTTGTCCCTCAACCACTACTGCTTGGCACCGGTGGCTGAGAACGCTAGAGATCCATCTTAGTGGTGCCTTGAATCCCATATCTCTGAAGTTTGTGTAGAAGCAAACTATGATTTTCACGGTCAATTGCCTTTGAGAAGTCCATCACCAGCACATCATTTTGCTTGTGGTTCTCCAGATTGGTCATCAAGACTTCTACAAATTCAAGGAGCTGGGGCTCACATGATCTATTTGGCTTTTAAGATGCTTAATGACTGTGCTTCGTGTAATACATTCCTCTAATTAAATAAGTTAATGATCTCTCTGTCCAATAATTTATTGAGTTATTTCGCATGTTTAAATTAAAATTCAAATTAGTTGACTTTTGCGGAATGACAAGTAAAATAAGCCCGTTAGTCAGCTAACATCTCATTTTTAAGAATCAAAACTCTCTCGAGAAAATTCGTTTATTTTTTTTAATGTCATTCATAATGATCTAACGTCAACGGTTGGAAACATCACAGCAATTTCAGACTTCTAAAGCTGTTGATGAGGAGCTTCAGTCACAAGGGAACAAAGAACGTGATCATTGGCGTCAATTTTTAGAAGGTTTATTGAGCATCACTGAAAATAAAGGATTGCAGGAGGAATTTGAAGGAATATGCATTGGTCTTTTAAATGTCCTGTGGATGTCATAGCCTAAACTTAGTTCTTTTATATGAGCCTTGGATGTCATAGCCTAAACTAAGTGCTTTTATTTGTGCCTTGGATGTCATAGCCTAAACTTAGTGCTTTTAAATGTGCCTTGGATGTCATAGCCTAAACTTAGTGCTTTTATATGTGCCTTGGATGTCATAGCCTAAACTTAGTGCTTTTAAATGTGCCGTGCGTGTCATAGCCGAAACTTAGTTCTTTTATATGTGCCTTGGATGTCATAGCCTAAACTTAGTGCTTTTATATGTGCCTTGGATGTCATAGCCTAACCTTAGTGCTTTTATATGTGCCTCGGATGTCATAGCCTAAACTTAGTGCTTTTATATGTGCTTTGGATGTCATAGTCTAAACTTAGTTCTTTTATATGTGCCTTGCGTGTCATAGCCTAAACTTAGTTCTTTTATATGTGCCTTGGATGTCATAGCCTAAACTTAGTTCTTTTATATGTGCCTTGGATGTCATAGCCTAAACTTAGTGCTTTTATATGTGCCTTGGATGTCATAGCCTAAACTAAGTGCTTTTATATGTGCCTTGGATGTCATAGCCTAAACTTAATGCTTTTATGTGTGCCTTGGATGTTATAGCCTAAACATTGGGCTTTTATATGCGCTGTTGATGTCATAGCCTAAACTTAGTGCTTTTGTATGCGCCTTGGATGTCATAGCCTAAACTTAGTGCTTTTATATGTGCCTTGGATATCATAGCCTAAACTTAGTGCTTTTATATGCGCTGTGGATGTTATACCCAAAATTTAGTTCTTTTATGTGTGCCTTGGATGTCATAGCCTAAAATTATGTGCTTTTATATGTGCCTTGGATGTCATAGCCTTAACTTAGTTCTTTTATATGTTCCTTGGATGTCATAACCTAAACTTAGTGCTCTTTTATGTGCCTCGGATGTCATAGCCTAAACTTAGTGCTTTTATATGCGCTGTGGATGTCATAGGTTAGCCTTAGTGCTTTTATATGCCCTCTGGATGTAATAGCCTAAACTTAGTGCTTTTTATGTCCTGTGAATGTCATAGACTACAATTAGTGCTTTTATATGGCCTGTGGATGTCATAGCCTAAACTTAGTGCTTTTATATGTGCCTTGGATGTCATAGCCTAAACTTAGATCTTTTATATGCGCTGTGGATGTTATAGCCTAAACTTAGTTCTTTTATATGTGCCTTGGATGTAATAGCCTAAACTTAGTGCTTTTATATGTGCCTTGGATTTCATAGCCTAAACTTAGTGCTCTTTTATGTGCCTCGGATGTCATAGCCTAAACTTAGTGCTTTTATATGCCCTGTGGTTTTCATAGCCTAAACTTAGTGCTTGTTATGTGCTGTGAATGTCATAGACTACAATTAGTGCTTTTATATGCCCTGTGGATGTCATAGCCTAAACTTAGTGCTTTTATATGCGCTGTGGATGTCATAACCTAAACTTAGTTCTTTTATATGTGCCTTTGATGTCATAGCCTAAACGTAGTTCTTTTATATGTGCCTTGGATGTCATAGCCTAACCTTAGTGCTTTTATATTTGCTTCGGATGTCATAGCCTAAACTTAGTTCTTTTATATGTGCCTTGGATGTCATAGCCTAAACTTAGTGCTTTTATATGTGCCTTGGATGTCATAGCCTAAAATTAGTTCTTTTATATGCGCTGTGGATGTCATAGCCTAAACTTATTTCTTTTATATGTGCCTCGGATTTCATAGCCTAAACTTAGTGCTTTTATATGTGCCTTGGATGTCATAGCCTAAACTTAGTTCTTTTATATGTGCCTTGGATGTCATAACCTAAACTTAGTTCTCTTTTATGTGCCTCGGATGTCATAGCTTAAACTTAGTGCTTTTATATGCGCTGTGGATGTCATAGGTTAGCCTTAGTGCTTTTATATGCCCTTTGGATGTCATAGCCTAAACTTAGTGATTTTTATGTCCTGTGAATGTCATAGACTATAATTAGTGCTTTTATATAGCCTGTGGATGTGATAGCCTAAACTTAGTGCTTTTATATGTGCCTTGGATGTCATAGCCTAAACTTAGTTCTTTTATATGTTCCTTGGATGTCATAGCCTAACCTTAGTGCTTTTATATGTGCCTCGGATGTCATAGCCTAAACTTAGTGCTTTTATATGTGCTTTGGATGTCATAGTCTAAACTTAGTTCTTTTATATGCGCCTTGGATGTCATAGCCTAAACTTACTGCTTTTAAATGCGCTGTGGATGTTATAGCCTAAACTTAGTTCTTTTATATGTGCCTTGGATGTCATAGCCTAAACTTAGTGCTTTTATATGTGCCTTGGATGTCAAAACCTAAACTTAGTGCTCTTTTATGTGCCTCGGATGTCATAGCCTAAACTTAGTGCTTTTATATGCGCTGTGGATGTCATAGGTTAGCCTTAGTGCTTTCATATGCCCTTTGGATGTCATAG